TAAGATCAACGGGTCGACTTCCAACTATTGCGAATAGCGTGGGAAGTTTCCAATCGAGAATCGGAAATCCAGCTGTTTCATCGTGGAGCTTGGTTCTCTTCTCCCTTGCTGGAGTTCTTCATCGAGTCAATGAATTCTCCGTTCGACGCCACGCGCATGGATCAATGGACACCTACTTCGACGGTAGACGACGAGATTGCGAAAGTTATTCGCATCTTTGACATTCCGAAAACAACGATCCGGAACGTCGAAGGGAACCAATTACACGGAGTCCGTGTCTTTCGTTTAATCGATAAGAATCGATTTTCAAGCGCTTTAATTCGCGAATCCGATAAACGAAAAAAGAATACTTTTGCTGAATCTTATCATCTTACATTGCAATTTTAATAATTATACAAGATGTAAAACAGACGTCGGAACGGAAAATGGATGAATATTTTATCCAATAATGAATAATCCAATAATAAATGGATTGGATGTCTTATGCAATTCAACTTCGAGAGAATAATGACTTCGAGATCAACCTGAGATGACACGGAAAAAACGAGGAAGAATAGAATGCTGAAGAGTGATTGGTGGGGGAAATTAATTGTAGATCGAAGCCCGATGAACTTCCGTCTCATTACAAAATACTCGATACTCACGGGAGGTCTTTCGTTTGAAACGGCTCTATCTTGCAAAGCCAGTCAACCAGATGGCTGCACGGCCATAAATGGATGATGTACGATGTAACGATCTCTTCACTCAGGTCCCGACATCACAATTAGCTTTCGTAAGTAAATGCGGCTGCATGCCGACGAGTCGTGCAAGGGCGCGAACGAGCATAACCATCAACGCTCGTTTATCTCGAACGGAAATTTTCACATCGAGTGCAATTAAAATTGCCGTTATCAACGTAAACTTACAGCGACTTAAAAAATATAACAATAATAATAACTTGTAATTATTGTGGAAATATATAAACACGACAGATCAGAAAAAATAAATACATGCAAAATTTATATACCACACTTAATCGCGTATGTAATTAATTATAAAATTATTTTATTGCAGTACACATCAATGCTGTTGAATTATAATGCGCGATTCGTAAGTCGCATTGTCAATCGTGCATTTGCAGCGCGGTACAAAGTTCGGAAAAAAAGGACATCGTAACATTCTGCAAAACAACGCTGTCTCGCGATGGGAACTGCGATTGTTCGCTGTTGATCGCGCGGAGCAAATCGCTCGGACGTCTCGCGACTCCCAGAACTACAGGTGAGTTCGTATTCTTTTTTTTTCCTATTAAGCCCCATGAGAGCCCCTCGTGCGTTCGAGACTCCACTTCCCCAGATTTGTCAGGCGAGCAAGATGGATAGACTTGTCCACGGCACGCTTTTCTCTTGTGCCGCGGTCTCAAGTTCTCTCATTGGTCATCCCACGTGCGAGCGTCCGCGCACATTTGTTCATACTTCGTAATACTTGCCCACTACGAAGGCAATCGTTCTTCGATGCGTTTTTTCCGGATCAAATTCTTTTTTTTTTTTAACGGAGAATAATGTTGGAGCTTCCAGCAATTTCTTTTTGCGAGACAAATATTTCCACAATTCTTCAGAATTATTACGAAAGAAACGCGCATTATTAGTTCATTAGCCAATTTGAAATAACGTAAAATAAATGTTTGAAAGAGCGGTTGTTTAATCATTTTTATGTCATTTTGAATTTCAAAAGGAATTTCTTTGTAAAATTGAACACGACAATGAAAGAGATTTATGGAAAATTTAACTTTACAAAATTAAAATTTGAAAAAGTCTGTATTCTAATTTTTTAGTATTGGAAAATTTTATTTAAATTGCAAAGAAAGAAAGTGAAAATTACCCTTAATTTTCTCCTACGTACTATATAAACCTTCAACCGTCAACCACCAGTTGCCTGTTCCTACCGGTTCGTTCCGCTGGAAGTGATCTATTTAGGTCCAGCGAGTAACCGGAAAGCTATGCGGAATTGATTTTAGTTAATGCATTTTATTCACAATATTCACACAATAGCTTTTCCTGGTGCGCTAGGCAAAGGCGCATTGTGTCGTCTATTATTGAAAATTTGTGAAAATGCGTACTGTCGTTTGCTGGAAAAGTGTATCCGCATCGCGATGGTCTCAGCTGCGTCCAAACTGCTTTCAGCGAGAATCAATATTTCGCGAATGCCTCGCGAAAGGTTTTACGGCTGACAGTGCGGCCTTTACAACGCAATGTAGTTTGTCGCGCTATTGCAGCCAAGAGGAAAACGTCGAATACACTTATATTTGGGCGAACGCCAAAAACCTGCGGAAAATATTGCGACATTTATTAAGGCTGAGTTCTCTTAGAAAATATAATCGACATATTAACTAGAAGAAATAACGCGCTTCTTATCTCGTACTCGTATCTTTATCGGCTGCGGTTATTTTTTTTTAATCACTTTTATAATTTTAATATTATGATATTATTTTATCGCACAATTTATACTGCTATTTTATAATGGGAAAATTATTATGCCGTTCCATTTATTTGATGACTCAATTACTTTACTTTACTTGACCTCGCGAAGGTGCAACGCTCGACAGTTTTATAATCCTAATAGCTTTAATTGCTACAATGGCGTAATTGCGAAGAAGAAACATTGCGGAATGTTTAGCGAGAGAAGAAGGAATACCTACACAAATTAAATAGTGGAAAATGAGTCCGAGATCTTGCACCGGGAGAACAGCTTTGTGAGAGCTGCTATACGAGAGCGGTGCCGCCCACGTGGAGGAGAGAAAAGAAACGAGAGAAATAAGTGACGGAGTCTGTGTCTTGGTTTGCGTTTGCATGATGAAAAGACAAAGAAAAGAGGATGAAACAAGAAGAAACGCGCGCGTTCTCTCTCTCTCTCTCTTTCTCTCTCTCGTTGTTTCGCAGTGAAATTTCAATAAGTTCGCGAAAGAAAGATCGGTAACACAATGCGGCGGCACGGAGTCCCGGAATGAGGTAGCGAAAATTGCGAAAGAGGAAGCTCGAGGTCGTTTCCGTCCGAGAGAGTAACGAAGCTATTTAAGTGCTGCCGGTATAAAATTATCGCGTGTCGTCCGCACGTGCGCCCGCGCGCGCAGAGCACCCGCTGCACGAACGGTGCGAGTCTGGAGGATGTTTGCACGCAGAGGATTACCGGCGCGATACTATACGGAAAGATGCCGGATAAATGGAGGTGGTGGTGTTTAAACGTGTGGGAACAACGCGGCGAATGCTAAGAAACAACGCGGTAGAGGTAAATAAGCGAAGGAGCCGGAACAAAAGGCCAATGTGCCAGGGAACGACAACAGCTACCTGCCGGTGTCGAAAATGCACTTGCATCCGCGGCCTTTGAATTCCGTCGAATTATAATTAGAAGTCGATTGTGAAACATCAACATTCTCTTAATTATATTTAATTTTCCTCTTTGTTATTCTTATGGAAATGCATACGTTTACTTTTTATCACATACTTTGTATTGTGTTATTAAAATTTGACGAAAATGCGAAAAAAATGCGAATGCAGAATATCAGAAATTATTTCTAAGAAAAATACCTAATATTTTATATGATTCTACATAATCATCAAATAATTTTTATATTTACAAATACAAGTAACCAAGCAAGAAATTAAGATCGCGCCGAGTGTTAATTGTCACGTTCTTTGTTGTCCAAGAAGTTTGGTAATTATTCATGAGACACTTTGACTCGTGATAAAAGTAGGTGTTACAACAATGTTGCGGAGAAGCTTTCGAGATTTAAAATCTTTGTGTCGTGCTTTTATGAAAATTCCACGTTAATAGTCGTGCAATCTCCGTGGCGCAAATGTAAAAAAGAGATTACGCAGAAGTAAAAAAAAACAAACTAAGAGTTTAATTACATAACTATTATTCTTTTCCTACAAATAACTTCTGATATTTTACATTCGTTTCTGTTATACTTTTATCAAATTACAATAATATAACATGGAGAATATGATTAAAGGTAAACATATATAATATTTTCACAAGAATACATTTTATATTGTTATTGAAAACAGAATACTTATATGATTTACACAAACTTGAAACAAATACAGTGTCTACAATCTTCCATGTATGCCAATTAATATTTCCAATGAGAAATCAACATTTAATCTATACGATTCAAAAATGATTCAAGGCACATAAGAATTATTCGGCCATGTAGATTATGAAGATTGAATTTTGTGTATAAATGTTCGCCAATTAACGATGGGTGTTGCGATGTCGATGTGCGGAATGTAAGGGGAAGGAAGAGGGAAGCGGACGAGGCGAGGAATAAGAGACGCGGGTGGCGGAGGAAAAGGTGGAGGTGGAGAAGACGAGCGATAGTAGGAAAAGGGGGAGGAAGACGGAAGAGACGGAGAAGAGGAAGACGATGAAGAAGAGAGCCGGGTAAGAGGTAAAAGAGAGGCGTGCGTGCGTGCGAGAGGAGAGCGAGACGAGGGAGGCGAGGAGGCGAGGTGGTCCGAGTTGGGTAAGGTGAGGGCTCCTACGGGTAAGTACCACTCACTTCATTGACTCGTGCGTACGCCCGCACGTCTGTCAGTCCATCCTCACTCACTCGATCCTCGCTCACTCGGCCGCCTCGGTCGTCGTAGACACTCGCGGGCCGAGAGTGCTCGGTACGCACACCTTCAAATCTCGCCTGATCGTCGTTACGCCGCCGATTTTAGAGAGAGAAAGAGAGAGAGAGAGAGAGAGAGAGAGAGAGAGAGAGAGAGAGAGAGAGAGAGAGAGAGAGAGAGAGAGAGAGAGAGAGAGAGAGAGAGAGAGAGAGAGAGAGAGAGAGAGAGAGAGAGAGAGAGAGAGAGAG